CTGGCAGCGGATGGGGTTCTGGTAGGGAGTTCTGTTAGCCTCAGAGAAGCAAAGGCAGTAGGCCTTCTGTTAACTCGTAGAACAAGTTCTGCTGAACACAGATACCAAGTCCAAGGAGTTATACAGTTCTAACTAAATGCAATGATTAAAAGCAGTAAGTAAACGACACGAGGGATTTTTATAGTGGTTCAAGGAACAACTCGTTCCTCTAATCCACTATTCCACTAAGCTGTAAAAACTGCCGTTTACAAAGCCTTAGTCCTAGAACTTAAGAAGCACTCCACGTCTTCTTCAAGCCTAGATGTGTCCTGGGATGCACTGCCTGGCTTCCTTTAACACTGGTCCTTTCACTGAGTTTCCTTGAAGTATCACCACTTCACTACTCCAGTTATTTAGACGTCCTTCTTGTAGCAAGAAGAGTTTCTGTTGAAACTGGGGTTCCTCCAACTAGCTTCGTTACAAAAGATTTGTATGTGATGAGCTTGAAGAGTTGAAGAACACTTGGAACTTTGCTTGAGTTGGAAAGAGTAATTTTCCAACTTCTGCCTTCTCTTGTAGAAGATAATGAGTTTGAATCTCAAGGAGGCTTTTTGCTTTTCAGAGTTTGAGTATCTTGCTTGTGGTTAGCAAAGTTGTAGCAAAGTTGTATCTAAGTTTTCCGGTTGTTCTTCGTAGTGTATCTTTTATACTGAGGTTGTCTTCCCGTTGGAGGAGTAGGAGGACAACTGCATTTAATGCGCGATCAGTTAACTTGACTAGTAGAGCCCGATAAAGTTGGCGGGTTACTATTTTGGGATAAAGTATTCCTGACATTGCGGCCAATCATCTGCAATTACTCTACGTAGCATGGGGTGCATTAAATGAGCATTTAATGCATGCACTGTAGCTTTTCCGTTTCATACTCCTAGCCGTTGAAGGAATCTTTTAGTTGACTTCCCGGTTCTTTGAAAATCTTCTAAGTGTCAGACCTTCTGGTGTCTTTGTCTGAGAGTAGAACAGAGGAGGCCTGGAGCACTTCTGTTGGGAGTATCCAACAGAGACCCAGAAGGGTTTCTGTCAGAGTCAAGACTAACAGAGATCCTGAGGACTTCTGTTCTGGAGCAGAGAACCAAGGGTCCTCTGTTTCAATAATGCCTTAAGAGGCACTTCTGCTCTTGAAGTCCTTCTGCTCTTGAAGGTCTTCTGTCAAGTCGAATACATCTAAGAACTTTACAAAGGAAAATTCTAATACATAATTTCTAAAGGGGTACTTCTAAAGTCCTAATTAATCTAGCATCATCAAAATCTAATTACAATTATTCCTTACAATTTCCCCCTTTTTGATGATGCCAAAACCCTTTAACTATTTCCAGAGAAGTGCCTTCACCATAAAAAAGATTAAGTTTAAAAACTTCCATTAAAATCTTGGTGGGCAACTTGGCATAGGAAAATAGTAAGAGTACGATACATTCAGATAGCAGAATATAACAGAAATAAACAACCACAAACAGAAGGCAAAAAGACAAGAATTTGAGGAAAAGCACTTCAAAGTAAGAAGGCAGAGATGTGATTTTATTAGATAGGTTTTACAGAGTTTAAACCTTACACATTCTCCATATTAGTTGCCTGTAGAGCTTCTTCCTCTAGTCTTTGAAGCCTGAGCAGTTCTTCATTTATTTCAGCTCTGATTTTGAACAGATTGCCAGACCTTTGATAAGATGCCCATATTGGAGAAAGCTTGCAGTCCAAATAGTTGAGGACACCTTCATGTATGGTCTTTCCTGGGACAATGTTCTTCTTGTACCATTCTTCTGCTTCTTCAAGAGATCCTCCATACCTAACTCTGACAACACCATCTTTGTCCAGATAGAGGTGCTGTTGTTGGGTAGGAGTCATTTTAGCCTTCATCTCTTCAAATTGAGCTCTGTCAATATTCTGAGAGCCACCCAATCTCCACTCAGTGAAGTTGAAAACTTTCTTCTTCTTGGTGCTCTTCTTTACTGGAGATGGGGGTCTAGGTATGCCTGCTGCTCTCTTCTTTTGTAGGGCAGCTTCAAAATGGGGAGCCGGATCTACTGCAGGCTCACCAGAGGAGGGTGCTCTGGTAGGAATTCTGTGAGACCTAGCCCTGGTCTGTTGAGGGTCCTCTTCCCCCTTTTTGGCATCATGCAGATCTTCAATCATAAGACTGATCTTCTGGAATTCTGAGGCCTGGGTTGAGGCTATCTGCTCCAGGGCCTCTGGTAGTGTCTGGGTGACAGAGGTAAGGCCTTCAATGAGACCTTGCTGCTTCTGTATTGCAGAGAAGATGTCCTTGTTATTGGCTTCAAGGAGCACCATCTTCTGATAACGATCTCTGTCAGTGGACAGAAGTGCATGAGCCTGTTCTTGATGCACTCTGCACATTTGCTCAATAGAGGTCAGTTGCCTCTCTGTTCTGGCATCAGATTTCTTCAGAGCCTCAAGATGCTCTGAGATAGTGTGGATTGCCTGTCCTTGACTCAGGAGAGTCTGTTGAAAGATAGAGAGGGTTTTGTGGATGCCTACCACTTCTGTTGACAGGACATCTGTTCTGGTAGAGGAGGAGGCGATGAAGTTGTTGAGTGTCCCAGTGAGGTTCTCAAAACGGTCAGAGATGAACTGCATACCTGAATTTTGATTGTCATTCACATGAGCAAGGTGCCCATAGTGTTTGTCATTGATCTCAATCAGTTTGTTCATGCCTTGGAGGATCTGTCCTCCAAATTCTTCAGCAGATTCAACAAACTTGTTGAAGGGGACGTTGTTCTGTTGTCCATCAGCTTGAGGCATCTCTAGACCTCTTCCCTTAGGCAAAGGATGATGTTCTTGGACAGATGACAGAGATTGAACAAGCTGTTCATGTTCCAGTTGAGTCAGAGGAGGGGTCTTCTGTCTCTTGGATGTGGCCTTGTAGGATTTGCTGATCATGAATCCATCCATGTCAGAGGAAATCTCATAAGGAGAGTAGATAGGTTTTCTGTTGCGAACTACCTTCTTTTTCTTTCTCAGAGAGGGATTGGGGGCAACAGAGTCCCTAGAATACCCTTTGGGTGCAGAGATGGGAGAGACAGTTGTAGGATCTGAGTCTCTGAGAAACCATACAGGTTTAAGGTTTTCTGCAGGTTGTTGTGGAGGTGAAGATTCAGGAGGAGGGGATTGATGATCAGATTCAGAGGATGAAGAGGAGATCTGTTGGGGTGAGGGGTTCTGGTGCTGAGGTGAAGATTGAATAGGTGAGGCATTCTGTTGAGGGGGTGATGGTGGAGGTGAGGGTGAACGGTTTCTGAAGGGAACAATTGCTCTGCAGGGAGATGCAATTTTCTGTTTGGGTGAAAGAGGAGGGGTGGGGGTTTTCTGTTCAGGAGATTTAGGTTGAGGGTGTTCTGGTGGAGGGGTTTCTGTGCTGGTGGTAGGTGAGGGAATATGTGGTTCTGTTGGGATAATAACAGAAGGGGTTGGAGAGTTTACCTCAATGATGTTATCCACGAGCAAGGAAGTCCTCCACTCCTTGATATGCTCCATCATAGCTTGTCCTTCTGACTTGAGTACAGAGGACTCTCCTGGGTTGAAGTTGGGCTGTACAGAGTCAGTTGCCATCTTGGTGAACAGCCATTCTTCAAAGGCTTCAATTTCTCCATCTTCTAGAGGTTTGACAGCTTCCTCCGAGGGTGAAGAAATGAGAATAGCCTTTCCCTTGTAGCTTGCCTTCTTCTTCTCAAGGACAGAGTGAAGAAAGTTGAGGGCAAAGCACTTTGAGACATCATCAGTCCCAACCCAATTCAGGATGGCTTCTTCTTCTGCCTCATAGTGATCAAAAAACTGAATTATTTTGTGGAGGGGTCCCATTCTCCATCTTCTCCATTCAAGGACCCGGGTAAACTGTCTGTCAAGCAAGGACAGATACCCATCTTTGACAGGACTAGGGTGCTCTGGTGGAGTTGGCACCCTGTTCTGTTCAGGAGATGCAGCAGAGGTGGGGATCTCTGGTTCCCCCTGAGTGTCTGCCACTCCCTCAGACACAGAAACCACAGGTTTAGCAACCTTCTTCTTTGGTTTGGTGGTCCTCTTCCTCTTCTGTCCGGCCTGAGGGGGGGCAACAGGTGCTTCCCCTTCGGTCTTCTTCTTCTTCTTCTTCTTCTTCTTCTTCTTCTCAGCAGAAGGAGCTACAGAGAAAGGTTTCTGTACCTTCTCTCCTTTATGTCTTTTAGCCTCAAGTTGAAGCTGTCTCTTTAGTTCTGCCTTTATGGCTTTTTCCCTATTTGGAGAGGCAGTCAGGAAGATTACCTTGGTGTGATCCAAAGCTGAAGTCTTCCTCAAGTTTACCCCTTGTTTGAGGAGCACTTCTGAAATGAGCAGTCCATGCCCTAGCTTCCCAGAATAGAGGCTAGTCTTTGGATTCTTCTTCTTGATCACTTCAATCAGGGACTTCACCATGACTTGTCCCCAATTGATGTTTACCCCATTATGCACTGCATAAAGGGCCTTTGCATTGGCAGTTGTGACATCATCTGTGGAGGTGTACTTGCACCATAAACATTTGTGGAAGATGTTTATGAGCAGCTCAAATTCCTTCTTGAGCAAGTTCTTCTTGATGTTGACCTTCTCTACCTCTGCACCTTTTCTGCAGAACTTCTTCTTGAATTCTGGCAGAGGGATGTCAGTATCCTCCAAATCAAGTAGAGAGGCCCTGTCTTCCTCTAGTTGGATATTGAAGATGTTGTTGATGACGTCAGCATCAATCAAAATTCTTCTCCTTGGACGACGGAGGAGATGGTTTCATCCTTGAAGGATGCGTTGAGATAGAACTCAACTATGTCAATGTTGCTGTAGGCCTCATAATCATGAGTGATGACCTTGCTCAGTTGACATTGTGACAGTCCGTCAACAATGGAGGTCATCCTCTCCTTATTCTCTGCGAACCTGGGCAGTACTTCCAGTTCGCATCTCATCCCTGTCAGTACATTCTTCAGGAGAGTTGCCTTTTGTTCCTTTGAAAGATCGGAGAAGCTCAAGAAAGCCATGGAGTTTATTGCGGTTAGAGAGTTTTGGAGAGATAAGAGTTCAAAAGCTTGAGAGTTATGAGAGCAGTAACGGTTTAGGTTTGCGAAAGGGGGTTTTATGGATATGGGTTAGTGGACGTTTGAGATAATTTACGGTTCCAAGATACCAATAAATGTAAAAAGGGGTGCAGTAAATAAACGGGGGCGCAGTAAATTTTAGACGGCTTGATACCGTTTTAAGGGTAAAAGGGTAAAAGACCTTTAATAATTTACTAGGTCACCCGGTTTACAAGATTTTCTAAGTCCACCACCTTCTGTTAGATAAGAGAGGGTCTTTCAGTAAGAAAGGGGGGGGGGGGGGGGGGAGGTTCTGTTGCTGAGGTGTTCTGCCAGGGTAGCGACCAGAAGAGGTTGACAGAGGGGGGGTTAACAGAAGGGGTTCTGCTACAAGAATTCTGTCAACCGCAAAAGAGCAACAGAGGGCCTTCCTTTTCATCTTTCCCTTGGAATCTCATCCATCATTCTCAGTTCCTCTCTCAGTTTGTTGAACCTAGCCTCAGGGAGAGACTTTGTCAGGATATCTGCAAGCTGGTCTTCTGTTGGCACATGTTCCATGCAGATGTGCTTCTTCTCCACATGATCTCTGATGAAGTGATGTCTGATCTCAATGTGCTTTGTCCTGGAATGAAGAACTGGATTCTGAGTGATAGCAATAGCACTGGTCTGCTTGCAGTTAGATACAACAGAGATCCTATGATTCCTCTATATGTTGTTGCATCTACATCCTTTCCTTCATCATCTGGACCAATTCCTTGTGAAGTGTTCATGGGAATCTTCACTGATGATTTGCCTTCCACTCCAAACTTCTTGATTAGATCTTTGGTGTACTTCCCTTGATTGATAAAGATCCCTTCTGGAACTTGTTTGACTTGAAGTCCTAGGAAGTAACTGTAACACCCCCAAATTTTCCACCCAAAATAATTATTTAAATAATTATTTATGCAAATGAAAATGAACTTAATTTGAAATATTGAAATGTTGCAGCGGAGTAACATAATTGAAAATTGAAGGTGTTACCGCCACACTTAGCAAGACCATCGCTAAGTGCACAGGCTAACAGAAGTACTTGTTCAAATATTCTAGAGTGAGGAAATTAGAGTAGTAAAGATGTCTATTACATGATCTTAAATCAAAAGTTCATAAATAAAGTCTTATTACTAGTAATATCTCTAGCTAGCGCTCTCAAGAACCGTAAGCATGCATGTCATCATCCAAAGCATATCCATCTGTACAAACAAGAAGGAAAAGAAAACAAAAGAGACAAAAATTAGCTTTCGCTAAGTAAGCCCCACTCAACCCCGTAAAATAATAGGTTTGATGAAAATAATGTTTTGTATATAGTATAGGTAAATGATTTTTGTCAAATAAAATTCTCTTGTCTTTGCTTTCCTCAAAATCTCATTATAGCTAAACTCCCTAGTAGATTCGAAGGGCGGTACTCAAGATCATATTGAGCCCGGTGGACCGTTGTTATGTACGACCACCCCGGAACTTTTGCCGGTACCACAACTCCCATGGAAACTGAACTTCTACCTTAAGTGTGCACACCCCCAAAAGGGATTCCAAGCCCTCCGAGTAGTAAGAAGCCCAAGTAGTCCGGACGTCAACGTCCCCCTACCACACCAAAAAGGGTTTACCCCTTAGATGACTAGGTTACTGCTACTACTAACATAAAAGGGTCTGATGCCCAAAGATAAAATTCTCAATTTTTCTCGGATTGGTTACCGAGCCTCCCAAATATTTCCAAAATTTCTCGGATTTGTTACCGAGCCTCCCAAACCAGTAGTAGCAGCCCTAACCACCCCCACAGTCAAGGTCGTGGAGATCACCGACACCGCAGATTTCTCCCGCGATGCCCTTACATTGAAAGGTTCATTTTATCTTGAATTATTTCCCAAAAAATTCTATATCTATTATTCATAGATATAGTTTTAGAACAAGAATTTCTATTCACATTTCTCCAAAACGTACAACATAACATATTTTACACAAATAGTTCACAATTCATGAAAATCCACATAATCATAATCTCAACAACAATTACTCAAATAAATAAATAAAAATACATATCATATATAATATACGAGGTAAAAGCATTTTGGTTGACATAGGACTTACCTCAGCTCCAAGTACTCCTAGAGATATCTTCTATTTGCTCCTCACTCAAAATAATTACCTTCTATTAAAATTCACAAATCAATACCTCATCCAAACTAGAGTCTAATCCTTCTACCCCTTATTTGTAATTTACCCCTCTTATGATTTAGTCGGTTAAATAAATCCTCTATAGTAGTCCATTATAATTGTTGTATGCTAAATGACTTTTTTTTTAAATGTTAATTAATTAATTTAGTTGGTTCACATAATTCATTCCTTTAACATTTTCGATGATAATTTCATACTAAATAGTAGTCTAATTATTCACAATATTAATTCAACTACAGATAATCATTCGCTTAATCTATAGATACATAGTATAGTTTAGTTTATTTATTCTCATTCACTGGATTATTTATTTTGATAATTTATTTTTATTTACTTTTAGTTCATTCACATAATTCAATAATAGTCCAATTATACATATTTTATTATTAGCACATAGTTATCAAGCTATTCTATTTAAACCATATTATTATAATAATTAGGTCCCTCAATACTTCACCAGTTTTGCATTTCAACAAATGTATATTTTTTTTTACACTGTGTATTATAATAATTAGGTCCCTCAATACTTCACTATTTTCTAACTGTGTATTACTCAATTAAAACAGTAAGTCAATTAAAAGTGATAATTTTCAAATAAACAACATAAATTAGTATAGGCCATATAAATTAACATTCATTTCTATTTATGTAATCATACTTAGTATCTTATTATTTTCATTATTAAATTTAATCATTTCGGCCCAGCTGCCAAACCCAGATTTATATCAGTAAGCCCAATATTTTCAGCCAGCCCAATTGATTTACTCAACCTGGTCAAACCCCAAACAAAGAAACTAATGGCAGACAACTACTCTGCATCATCTTCTTCGTCGAGCAGCCAGTGAAGTCGGAAAAAAAAAGAGGGGGACGATAGTACCTTCTTCGGCAGCAGATGATAAATCCAGAGGTCGTTCTCCCCCTCCGGCGACGCAGCTTTAGTGGCGGAGTTGTGCTCTCTCTCTCTCTCTGCGCGGCAAATGTTCCCTCCGGCGAACTCCGACAGCCTCTTCCCACTTCGTTTCTCGACGGTTTTAGTTGCTTTCTTCGCCCACAGAATCCTCTCTCAGTCTATAATAGCTTACCATCACTCATAGGATGTTTTTTTTTTGTTTTTGTTCGCTGGTGTGTGTGTGGCCTGGTGTGTGTAGGTATGGGTGTATATATAGCAACCGGCCGATGCTTCTAGTGTCTTCCTTAGCAGACGGTTCGGTGTTGTCTTTATCGTAATAAAATATCTGTATGTCCTTTGCTATTCCCAACGTTATTAATCGCATAGTAGACGTACGTTTGTATGTTGTAGTATCACTCGACCTTTTCTATCTTTCTGTTGCATCGTTTTATTATTATTTGTATATTAATTATGTTTCATATACTCTAAGTCATTGTATTACTTAGTACACGCATGTGCATGATTTCATTTCTTTAGTGTTTATTTTGTTTTTGTTAGATAAATTATATTTTATTATTAATAATTTTAATTTTATATTTTAGGATAAATTATTATTATTATTATTATTATTATCATTATTCTCAATTTTTTTTTTGTTTTTTTTTTAGGATGTTACATTCCATCCCCCTTAAAGAAATGCTTCGTCCTCGAAGCATAAGCTAAGTCAAAAGATCTAAAATGTTTATTAATATGAATTATTATAACCCACCCCCCTAAAGAGAGGTTACGTCCTCGTAACCTAGAATATACCTCAATTGAAAAGTTCCGGATATTGCCTACGCATATCCTCCTCCAACTCCCATGTGGCATTTTCGGACAAGTGATTTGACCACAAAACTTTGACCATATTTACGGTCTTCCTCCTAGTCTCACGTGCCTTAGTGTCTAGGATCTTCACTGGCTTTTCTTCATACGTGAGTGTCTCATCCATCTCAATCACCTAGTAGTTTAAAGTGTTAACTCACAGATTGTTTATTCATGTATTGACTATTTAGCGTTAAAGGTCTTACCTCGGGGTTAATAATATGTGACCCATCATGAATGTACTTCTTTAGTTGGGATACGTGGAATACGTCGTGCACCTTGTACATGTTAAAGTATCGTTAGATTGTATTCCAAACTGCTAAGGACTGTAGAAAAGATTTCGAGTGAGTTCTCACCTTGCTCAAATCGGTGGGTAGAGCCAATCTGTAGGCTACCCGCCCCACCCTCTCCAAAACATCATAGGGGCCGATGAATCTAGGGCTTAGCTTGCCTTTCTTCCCGAATCGCATTACGCCCTTAGTAGGAGACACTTTGAGTAGTACTTTCTCTCCTACCTCGAACTCAGCTGGTTTTCGCCCTAGGTCCGCATACGACTTCTGTCTGTCTTGTGCTGCTTTCATCCTCGCTTGTATAAGTTTGACTTTCTCTATAGTATCTTGCAGGTATTGTGGCCCCAAAACGACCTTATCCACCATATCACCCCAACACAATGGGCTTCTACACTTTTGACCGTAAAGCGCCTCGTACGGAGCCATCTTAATGCTTGCTTGATAACTGTTATTGTACGAGAACTCTACAAGGTCTAGGTGCTCGTCCCACGCTCCTTGCAAGTCCAGCACACATGCTCTTAACATATCTTCAAGCGTCTGAATAGTCCTCTCGGTCTGACCATCCGTAGTCGGGTGAAATGCAGTACTTAGCTTCAGCTTAGTCCCCATAGCAGCTTGTAATTCCTTCCAAAATTGTGATAGGAATCGGGAATCTCGGTCGAACACAATGTCTCGGGGTATACCGTGATATTTGACCACGTGTCTGATGTAGGCTCTTGCCAACTTATCCATACTCCAGGTCTCATTCATGGGAATGAACCTAGCAGTCTTGGTCAACCTATCCACGATCACCCAAATCTTATCTTTCCCGGACTTCGTTAAGGGTAAACCTCCAACAAAGTCCATCGAGATCGAGTCCCATTTCCACATTGGTACCTCCAAGGATTGCACAAGTCCCTTGGGTTTACATCTTTCGGCTTTGACTTTTTGGCAGTTCAGGCATTTAGACACAAATTCGGCTACTTCTCTCTTCATCCTCGGCCACCAAAAGTTCTTCTTCAGATCCTTGTATAGTTTATCTCCTCCCGGATGTACCGAATAAGGTGTGTTGTGTCCTTCCTCCATGATTTGCTTTTTGATATCGTCACATTTCATTGGGACACACCACCTTCCCTTATAGCGGATACTCCCGTCTTCGTGAAGTTGGAATGGTCCATTGACCCCGTCTTTCATTCCCGCTTTGACTCGCTCCAATTTAACATCTCCTGGTTGACCAGCCTTGATTTCATCGAAGATAGAGGGTAAAATGGTCATATTGTATAACTGAATCTCACCCTCCACTTCACCGCGCTCCTTGACTTCCAATTTTAGCCTCTGAAACTCTCGGTACAGCTCTTCTGGTAATATCCACGTTGCTCGGCTTGTGTGCTCCGCCTTTCGGCTTAAAGCATCTGCTACGACATTAGCTTTTCCCTCGTGATATTGGATCTCCAGGTCATAGTCTTTGACAAGCTCTAGCCATCTTCTTTGTCTCATGTTGAGTTCTTTCTGCGTGAATATGTACTTGAGACTTTTATGATCTGTGAATATCTTGCACGGTGGCCCGTACAAGTAATGCCTCCATATCTTCAAAGCAAATACAACTGCGGCTAGCTCTAAATCGTGTGTTGGATAGTTAACTTCATGCACCTTCAACTGTCGGGATGCATAAGCTACTACCTTCCCGTTCTGCATGAGCACACAGCCCAGGCCATTTTTGGACGCATCACAGTAGATTTCAAATCCTTCGGTTCCCGATGGAAGTGTCAATACCGGTGCAGTCGTCAATCTCTTTTTCAACTCTTGAAATGCCTTCTCACAGTCTTCACTCCAATGGAATCTCGTGATCTTCTTCGTCAAATTGGTCAACGGTCTAGCTATCTTGGAGAAATCTTTGACAAATCTCCGATAATAACCTGCTAACCCAAGGAAGCTTCTTACTTCTGTCATTGTGGTAGGTGCACGCCACTCGGTTATTGCCTCAATCTTCGACGGGTCCACAGAAACTCCCTCCTTAGTAATGATGTGACCGAGAAATGCAACTCGGTCCCTCCAGAAATCACACTTGGAGAATTTAGCATAAAGTTGGTTCTCTCTCAAAGTTTGCAGCACAATTCTCAAATGCTCTTCGTGGTCTTTTGGATTCTTGGAGTATACAAGTATGTCGTCAATGAACACCACCACAAATGCATCAAGATAGGGGCGAAATACACGATTCATTAAATCCATGAACACCGCTGGTGCATTGGTCAGACCAAATGGCATCACGGTGAACTCATAATGCCCATACCTTGTGCGAAATGCGGTTTTGGGTATGTCCTTTTCCGCTATTCTCACCTGATGGTAGCCAGACCGAAGATCTATCTTGGAGAATACACCTGCACCCTTCAGTTGATCAAATAAGTCGTCAATGCGGGGTAAAGGGTACCTATTCTTGACAGTGACACGATTTAGCTCTCGATAGTCGATGCACAATCTCAAGCTTCCGTCCTTCTTCTTTACAAAAAGAACCGGAGCGCCCCAGGGTGAGACACTCGGTTTGATGTAACCTTTCTCAAGTAGTTCCTCAAGTTGCTCCTTCAGTTCTTGCATCTCCTTCGGAGCCATCCGATATGGTTCCTAGGAAATAGGGGTGGTTCCAGGCATTAGTTCTATGGAGAATTCAATCTCTCGTTCCGGAGGCATCCCCGGGATTTCGTCCGGAAATATATCAGGAAACTCATTGACTATCGGAATTTGCTCAATTTTCTTGTCCTCAACATTGAGATCCTTAACCATGCATAGATATGCTTCACATCCCTTTCGGACGTATCTCTTCATTTGTTGTATCGTCATTAGCTTGACTCCAGGCTTGTCAGTTGCAGCTTTGAATGACACTCTCTTACCACCGGAGTCCTTCATGATCACTTTTTGTTCACCGCAAAGGATCTTTGCTTTGTATCTCCCTAGCCAATCCATGCCAAGCACCACATCTATGTCTTCGAGGTCAAATTGCACCAAATCTCCCGGTAGGTTGACTTCAGCTATGGCTATGGGTACATCTGTGTATACCTCTCTACAAGCTACGACTTTATTGCCTGCTGTTTTTACATTCAATTCTATACTAGTCGTAGGTTCTATTTTTAACTTCTTTACAAAACTAGAAGAAATAAAGCTATGTGAAGCACCAGAATCAAACAATACATAAGCAGGAGTGTTGTTAACATTAATGATACCTGCAACCACATCATGTGCACGTGCTTGTGCTTGATTCATCACATAGATGCGACCTTGGTTAGGGGCATTGTTTTTGTGGTTATTGCCCCCATCGTGGTTCTGATTCGGGGTTCGGTTGGCATCTCCCGCTCTGTTTCCACGATTATTATTGACATGATTCGCCCCAGCTCCAGGTTGATTCCCACCTCCTCGATTATTCCCCTGGTTTTGAGGGCCTGTCTTCAATTTACTCAGGCATTCGAATGACCGATGTCCCATCTTTCCACAATTGAAGCAATTCACGAGCTTGCCGTCACAGTCAACACCCGGATGATCCCTCTTGCACTTCCAGCAATGAAAATGCCTATCACCTGTCCCACTTTGATGGTTTTGCTTCGGGCCTTGCCCAAGGAATCTCCTCCCCTCATGCGGCCGATTGTCCCTCTTCCACAGAAGTTGTTGTTCCTCATGATGAGTTTTGAGCCTCTTCTCCTTTGCTTTATTCTCCTCCTCGTTCTTTCGGATTTTCTTATGGGCTTCTCGTTGTAGTTGAATAACCCGATAGTGCTTCGCAGCTCTATAATAGGCATCATCCAATGTTTGACATTCTTGCACACTCAAGGCCTTCTGTGTGTCATAGTTAAGTCCCCTGACGAACTTCTCGACCTTGCTTTCTTCATCAGGCACTAGTGATGATGCAAATTCTGCCAGTGAGACAAATTTAGTGTGATACTCTTGCACCGTCATTTCTCCTTGTTTCAGATGCAGGAATTTGTCATAATTTTCTGCCTGCACGTGTGGTGGGTAAAACCTCTTTTGCAGTGCTTGCTTGAACCGTTCCCAAGTGAAGTCCGGTTGTGCGCGCAACCCCGGTCCCGCATTAACCCACCATTTATCTGCTTCTTCATGCAGATAATAAACAGCAATGTCGATTCGCTGTTCCATAGGACAATTGATTGCGTCAAATAGCTTATCAAAGGTGCGTATCCAATTTTCGAGAATGATTGGGTCCTCTTGCCCAAGGAAGCTCGGTGGATTTCGTGCCGCTACACGGGTTTCCATGTCACTGCCATTATTACGTGGCTGGTTGTTTTGGAGCACCGCATTCGCAATAGTGTGGGTGAGTTGAGTAAGAAGCTGAACAGTTTGGGCCAATTCCGCATTGGTTGGCACAGCATTCGGATCACGTCTTGGTGGCATAATGTCTTCATGAAAGAATAAATATTTAGGATTAGTACATGAAATTTTCTAAAATGGTCCATAGGTATCCTAATCTAAGGATTTCACTAGGATTATATGGCCACCTACGACTTTTGCATATTGATTTCACATTCCAAAAACTTCACACGTACCACACATAAGAGGATTTACATACCTTAGCCATGAAGTTTCCTTTTGAGGCTTCCCACCATTTTGGGTTCCCATTTCGCATATGGGCCCCCATACACATATAATTTCAAATATTCATATAACAACAAACACAACAAGTAGCAGAATAACCACACAATCCTCACCACGTCCATATAGTCCTATTTTATTTTTCTTTCCTAGTTAGTTTAAAATAATTCAGAAATCCTTTTAAGAATAAAAATTATTTTAAGAAAAAAAATGAACCCAAAAATAATCATTTTAAGAATAAAATGAACCCAAAAATAATTCAAAAATAATTATTTTTCTCTGATACCACCTTGTAACACCCCCAAATTTTCCACCCAAAATAATTATTTAAATAATTATTTATGCAAATGAAAATGAACTTAATTTGAAATATTGAAATGTTGCAGCGGAGTAACATAATTGAAAATTGAAGGTGTTACCGCCACACTTAGCAAGACCATCGCTAAGTGCACAGGCTAACAGAAGTACTTGTTCAAATATTCTAGAGTGAGGAAATTAGAGTAGTAAAGATGTCTATTACATGATCTTAAATCAAAAGTTCATAAATAAAGTCTTATTACTAGTAATATCTCTAGCTAGCGCTCTCAAGAACCGTAAGCATGCATGTCATCATCCAAAGCATATCCATCTGTACAAACAAGAAGGAAAAGAAAACAAAAGAGACAAAAATTAGCTTTCGCTAAGTAAGCCCCACCCAACCCCGTAAAATAATAGGTTTGATGAAAATAATGTTTTGTATATAGTATAGGTAAATGATTTTTGTCAAATAAAATTCTCTTGTCTTTGCTTTCCTCAAAATCTCATTATAGCTAAACTCCCTAGAAGATTCGAAGGGCGGTACTCAAGATCATATTGAGCCCGGTGGACCGTTGTTATGTACGGCCACCCCGGAACTTTTGCCGGTACCACAACTCCCATGGAAACTGAACTTCTACCTTAAGTGTGCACACCCCCAAAAGGGATTCCAAGCCCTCCGAGTAGTAAGAAGCCCAAGTAGTCCGGACGTCAACGTCCCCCTACCACACCAAAAAGGGTTTACCCCTTAGATGACTAGGTTACTGCTACTACTAACATAAAAGGGTCTGATGCCCAAAGATAAAATTCTCAATTTTTCTCGGATTGGTTACCGAGCCTCCCAAATATTTCCAAAATTTCTCGGATTTGTTACCGAGCCTCCCAAACCAGTAGTAGCAGCCCTAACCACCCCCACAGTCAAGATCGTGGAGATCACCGACACCGCGGATTTCTCCCGCGATGCCCTTACATTGAAAGGTTCATTTTATCTTGAATTATTTCCCAAAAAATTCTATATCTATTATTCATAGATATAGTTTTAGAACAAGAATTTTTATACACAAATAGTTCACAATTCATGAAAATCCACATAATCATAATCTCAACAACAATTACTCAAATAAATAAATAAAAATACATATCATATATAATATACGAGGTAAAAGCATTTTGGTTGACATAGGACTTACCTCAGCTCCAAGTACTCCTAGAGATATCTTCTATTTGCTCCTCACTCAAAATAATTACCTTCTATTAAAATTCACAAATCAATACCTCATCCAAACTAGAGTCTAATCCTTCTACCCCTTATTTGTAATTTACCCCTCTTATGATTTAGTCGGTTAAATAAATCCTCTATAGTAGTCCATTATAATTGTTGTATGCTAAATGACATTTTTTTTAAAATGTTAATTAATTAATTTAGTTGGTTCACATAATTCATTCCTTTAACATTTTCGATGATAATTTCATACTAAATAGTAGTCTAATTATTCACAATATTAATTCAACTACAGATAATCATTCGCTTAATCTATAGATACATAGTATAGTTTAGTTTATTTATTCTCATTCACTGGATTATTTATTTTGATAATTTATTTTTATTTACTTTTAGTTCATTCACATAATTCAATAATAGTCCAATTATACATATTTTATTATTAGCACATAGTTATCAAGCTATTCTATTTAAACCATATTATTATAATAATTAGGTCCCTCAATACTTCACCAGTTTTGCATTTCAAAAAATGTATATTTTTTTTTTACACTGTGTATTATAATAATTAGGTCCCTCAATACTTCACTATTTTCTAACTGTGTATTACTCAATTAAAACAGTAAGTCAATTAAAAGTGATAATTTTCAAATAAACAACATAAATTAGTATAGGCCATATAAATTAACATTCATTTCTATTTATGTAATCATACTTAGTATCTTATTATTTTCATTATTAAATTTAATCATTTCGGCCCAGCTGCCAAACCCAGATTTATATCAGTAAGCCCAATATTTTCAGCCAGCCCAATTGATTTACTCAACCTGGTCAAACCCCAAACAAAGAAACTAATGGCAGACAACTACTCTGCATCATCTTCTTCGTCGAGCAGCCAGTGAAGTCGGAAAAAAAAAGAGGGGGACGATAGTACCTTCTTCGGCAGCAGATGATAAATCCAGAGGTGGTTCTCCCCCTCCGGCGACGCAGCTTTAGTGGCGGAGTTGTGCTCTCTCTCTCTCTCTGCGCGGCAAATGTTCCCTCCGGCGAACTCCGACAGCCTCTTCCCACTTCGTTTCTCGACGGTTTTAGTTGCTTTCTTCGCCCACAGAATCCTCTCTCAGTCTATAATAGCTTACCATCACTCATAGGATGTTTTTTTTTTTGTTTTTGTTCGCTGGTGTGTGTGTGGCCTGGTGTGCGTAGGTATGGGTGTATATATAGCAGCCGGCCGATGCTTCTAGTGTCTTCCTTAGCAGACGGTTCGGTGTTGTCTTTATCGTAATAAAATGTCTGTATGTCCTTTGCTATTCCCAACGTTATTAATCGCATAGTAGACGTACGTTTGTATGTTGTAGTATCACTCGACCTTTTCTATCTTTCTGTTGCATCGTTTTATTATTATTTGTATATTAATTATGTTTCATATACTCTAAGTCATTGTATTACTTAGTACACGCATGTGCATGATTTCATTTCTTTAGTGTTTATTTTGTTTTTGTTAGATAAATTATATTTTATTATTAATAATTTTAATTTTATATTTTAGGATAAATTATTATTATTATTATTATTATCATTATTCTCAATTTTTTTTTTGTTTTTTTTTAGGATGTCACAGTAACTGAGTTCTCCCATCATACTCATTTCAAATTGACTCTACATCACTTGAGAAAATTTCTTGCACAGTTCTGGATTAGTACTACCAAATATAATGTCATCAACATATATTTGTACTAACAGAATATGATTAGCAACAGAGATTTGAAATAGAGTTTTGTCAACCTTTCCTTTAGTAAACCCATGGTTCACTAGAAAAAGGGACAATGTGTCATACCAGGCTCTGGGAGCTTGCTTAAGACCATAGAGGGCCTTTTTAAGCTTGTAGACACAGGAAGATTGAGTAGGAATGACAAAACCTGGTGGTTGTTCCACATAAACTTCTTCTTCAAGATCTCCATTCAGAAATGCACTCTTGACATCCATCTGGTAGACCTTGATGTTGTTGTAGGCAGCATAGGCTAGAAAGATTCTGATGGCTTCAAGTCTGGCAACTGGTGCAAAGGTCTCATCAAAATCTATTCCTTCTTCTTGACAATATCCTTTAGCTACTAGCCTTGCTTTGTTCCTTACAATGTTGCCATCTTCATCTGCTTTGTTCTTGAATACCCATTTGGTTCCAATGACATTCTGGTGTTTTGGCCTAGGAACAAGTTCCCATACTTTGTTCCTTTCAAACTGAGTGAGCTCTTCTTGCATAGCATTGATCCAATCTGAGTCTGCAAGAGCTTCTTCAACTGTCATAGGTTCCATCTGAGATATATAGCAGGCAAGCATTGCTTCTCTCCTTGATGTGGATCTGGTTTGAACTCCACTTGTGATTTGACCAATCACTTGGTTAGGAGGATGATCTCTTAACCATGTTAGGTCTGGTTCTGTCAGCTGCTGTCTTGGTCTCTCTGGTTCCTCATCTTCAGAGTCTTCATCTTCATTCAACAGAAGGGGGTTTGGTGCAGGTGTTGGAAATGCAGGGTTGTCTGCCACCTCTTCTGTTGGTTCTGGTGTTCTGTCTTCTATGCTGACTTCCTTGAGAATCTCTGTTACCTCTTTAACAGAGATGCTTTCATCAAACTTCACATGTATGGATTCTTCAACATGTAGGGTCCTTCTGTTGAGTACTCTATAGGCTTTACTGGTGTTTGAATAGCCTATAAAGACTCCTTCATCAGCCTTTTCTTGAAATACTTTCAGATGCTCCTTTCCATTGTTGAGAATGTAGCACTTGCATCCAAATACATGAAAGTAGCTGATGTTAGGTTTTCTTCCCTTCCAGAGTTCATAAGGGGTCTTCTGGTGATTCTTGTTGATCATGCTTCTGTTCTGGGTATAACATGCAGTGTTGATTGCTTCAGCCCAATATCTCATAGGCAAACCAGATTCTGCAATCATTGTTCTTGCAGCTTCTTTTAAAGTTCTGTTCCTTCTTTCTGCTACGCCATTCTGTTGAGGGGTTCTGGCGGCAGAAAGTTGATGAAAAGTTCCATTCTGATCACAGAAGTCCTTTATGATTTGGTTGACAAATTCAGTTCCTCTGTCTGATCTGATTGTCTTCACTTTCAAGTTCTTCTCAGTCTGAAGTTGCTTTAACAGAGATGGCAACTTCTGAAGAGTTTCATTTGTCTTTGTCAGAAAAACAGTCCATGTGTATCTAGAGTAGTCATCAACCATGACTAGGGTGTATTTCTTGCCACCAACGCTTGGAGTCTCAACAGGTCCAAATAAATCCATGTGAATCAGATTTAGAGGACTTGTACAAAGATCTCCAGCAATGGGTTTGAAGGAATTCTTCACTTGTTTGCCTTTCTGACATGCACTGCAGAGGGTCTCCTTCTTGTATACAATGTCTGGTAGCCCTTCTACAATGTGTTCTCTGGCCAGTTTGTTGATTGTTTTGAAATTCAAATGGTTGAGCTTTTTGTGCCAGTCCCAGCTCAGTTTTAAATCTCCTTTGGCTATCAGGCAAACTCCATCTTTTGCAGTGTTCCAATCAACTACATAGATGTTCTTCTTCCTTGATGCTGTAAGAACCACTTCCTTTGTTGTCTCATGCTTCACATAGCAGAAGTCCTTTGTGAATTCAACAGTGTAGCCTTTGTCACAGAATTGGCTAGCACTCAGCAAGTTGAACTTCAGTCCTTTGACATATGAGACATCATCAATGATTATCTGGTCCTTGATCAGCTTTCCTCTTTCTTTTGTTTGACCTTCTTTGTCATTACCTCCAAAGGTAACTCTAGGTCCTTTGCATTTCTGGAACTCTGTTAGGCAACTTCTGTCACCTGTCATGTGCCTGGAGCATCCACTATCAATAAACCATTCTTGTTCAGAGATGGCTCCAGCACACAGTTCCTGCAAGATCAAAAGAAAGATTTAGGTACCCAAGCAATGCTGGGTCCTGGGGGGTCATGGAGTCTGGGTAGTTGGTACCATTTTGGTCTCATCAAGTGAAACCTTGGTGGGTGGTACCCATTGTCCACCTGGTAGTTATAGTAAACTGAAGTGTGATTCACTTTGGGCAGATGCTTGTGAGGGTCATGCTTCCTGTTTACATACTTTTGCATAGCTTTCTTTGTTGGAAAGAAGTCCCATATACTATCAAGAGCAGAGGGACGGTTAACCTTGGGCTTCTGAAGTTGACCAGCCAACCTCTTCTGCCTGAAGTTAACTCTCTCTTGATATTTGCCCTTCTGGTGATCATTTCTGGCACGATTGACATGAGGTTGTCTGTCAATGAATGGTCTTTTATTTTTGTTATCTTGAAAACCTTTTCTGTTGTTAGCTTTTCTGCCAGGTTCATTATTTTTCAAAAAGGGTTTCTGTTGAACCTTTATCTTACCCTTTTCTGGTCTGACTTCCTCATGAACAACCTTGGTGCCAGATACACCAGCTTGACAGATGGGGCTAGAAATCAGTGGCTCTATGACCTTATCTGCCTTAGCAACTCTGGTGCTAGGCATTACAGAAGGCTCACCTGATTCTGTTGAGCCATAACCAAGACCAAAACCAGTGCCAATCTGTTGATCAAGCACAATCTTTTCCATGGAAGACTGGGCCTTCTGGTAAGCTTTGTACTTAATCTCGAGAGGCTCTATTTCTCTTATTCTCTTAAGAAGAGAAACATTTTCAGTCTCCAGTTGATCTCTTTCCTCAATTAGAAGATTGATTTTGATCTCAACCTCCTTCTTTAAGTCAAGAATTTCAGCTTTTAACTTACTGTTTTCTTCTGTTACAGAAGAATAAGTGGCTTGTATGGCCTTAAACTCTTCCCAAAATTCTGACATTGAATCAGAATCAAAAGCTAAGCCTACCGAAGAAAAACTAGATTCAGAAGTAGAGGTTACCTCATCATCAGAATGAGCCATCAGGCAAAGGTCTTCTGTCTCAGTATCCAGGCAACAGAAGGCCTCATCAGAATCTGAGTCAGAACTGGATTCTGTTTCTGACAGAGGGTCTTTCTCCAGCTGTTCTGTCACAAGTGCCTTTCTTCTTCTGGAGTTGTCCTCGTACTTCTTCTTTTCTCCATCCCGTCCTTGCTTCTTGGACACTCTAGGATGGGGACAATCAGCCTTGAAGTGACCAGGTTGTCTGCAGTTGTAACAGAGAAGCTCTCCACTGCTTTCTGTTGATTTGACCTTCTGGTATGGCTTTCTGTTGAAAGATGGACTCCTTCCATCTTTGGGATTCTTCATAAACTTTTTGAATCTCCTGGCAAAGGCAGCCATATATTCATCAGATAAAAGTACTGAAGGGTCAAAATCATTTACCTTAGATGTGCTGGCAGTGAGGGCTGTAGTGGTCCTCTCTTCTGGTACATCTTCCTTCTCTTCAATCATTTCAAACTCATGAGCTTTGAGATCTGAAATGAGCTTATCAGTGGGATAAGTCTTTACATCCTTGCTGGCTTGGACAGCAACTACCTTCATCTTCCATGCTGAGGGCAGTCCCCTCAACACCTTCAGGTTGATCTCCTTGGTTGTGAGATCCTTGCCAAGCTCAGAGATCTCTCCAGTGAGAGTGAGGAGCCTGTCATACATCTTGGAGATGCTTTCACCAGGGAGAAGTTTGAAGTCATCAAACTTCTTGTTGGCTATGGTTAGTTTGTTGTCCTTCTCTTGCTCATCACCAGCTCCAATGAGCTCAAGAGTATCCCAGATTTCCTTAGCAGTCTTGCACTTCTTGATTCTGTTGAAGTACCTATCATCAATGGACTTGTAGAGGATATCCTTGGCAATATTGTCTAGGTTGTACTTTCTCCTCTCTTCAGTGGTCCATTCTGACATGGCTTTGCTGATCATCTGGGGTCTGGTGTTGTCTATGGCATGTTCAGGATTGACCTTCTGGAAGCTTGTGAAGGGGCCAATGTCAAGAACTTCCCACATTTCATCATGTAGGGCACAGAGATGTGCTTTCATCCGGATCCTCCAGTCATCAAACTTAAGATCTGAAAACATAAGATTCTTGGACAAGGAGTGATCCATTATATCAGATAGAAAAGAGGTTAAACAGAAAAACAAGTGGATCTTTGTTCAACAAATAACCTAAGAGATTATTAGAACAAGGAGGCTCTGATACCACTTGTTGGTCCCGGTTATACTGCATACAGTCTAGAGGGGGGGGGGT